ATGTAGCAGCTACCGAGGAGATTTTACTTGGAAAACATATTTGTTATGACCTATATGTGAGCTCTGTTGATGATTGAATCTCTCCTGATTCCACCACATTAGTATTTTTTCTGCGGAAGATGGGACGTAACCACAAACTCAAAATCAGTTTTTCGCCAACTTCTTCCATTAGAGTATTTTTGCAAAGGGTCGTCGTAATATTTTGAAATTATTTGAAAACTTGATCCGACGAGGTAACAAGTAAATTTTTGCTTGGTAACTCTGCATTGTGCATTAAAGAAGAACAGGCCTCTTATACAGCGTCATGGTTTAATCTTTTCAGTAAGATGTCGGTTCAGTCTCTTGTTTTCGGACGCAGGTGTCTGTCTATACAGTGTCACTTGCCCTTCAGGCTGTCTTGGAAGTGAAGGATTTTGCGCCGTGGTTTCAGAACAGGGATATTATATAGGCAGGCCCGAATCAAGTGTGATATACACATTGGAGGTTCATATATATAGAGAGGATGTAGGAGGTGGCAATTGTAACAAATATTGCTATTGACAGATACTTGAAGGACAGTCTTGGCTTCTGGCTTACAAGAAGTTGCAGAAACCTGAAAAAAATCATGGACTGGAACTTCATATGCCTTACTTTTAGATCAAATGCAATGTTCTGATATCAGTTTGCAGCATTGTATGCATCTATTGTCTCATATCAATGTAATGCTCTCATAGATAAGAAATATATTACTTTATTGTTAAAGTTCTGAGTCACGTCCAATTGAACACATGAACGCATACCCTCACACTCTATGAGGTCATCCGGTTATAAATAAGTTCACCCTAAAGCTATTTGACTTCAGCAAATTTCCCCTGTACTAAGATAAATCAATCTTGGGAGTTAGATGCTAGCTTTGAGAATTCCTTACTACTTGCTACCCAGCCCAGCTCACAGACACCGGGCTTCTCACCTTGTACTGCTTCTGATGGAGATTCTTCCATGTAATCTGCCCTTCAGCGAAGCTCACTCCTCTTGCTTTCTTCTTCCTCGACTCGAACCAGACCCTGTAACTCTTCTTCTCGTTCGCTTCTTTGAACGTCAGTACCTTCGGCGTAACCTGAATTCTCACTCCTTTCGGCTCGCTCACTTCAACCATGTAACTCGAGTTAGGAGGCCCGACGTTGGTGACTGTCCTCTGAACTGCCGCCTTCGTTCTCCATTTCTTGAAGGCGATCGAAATGGATGGGTAGTTGAGACTGAAGTACTTGTTTTTCTGCAGGATATCAGCGCAGCTGGTATTCTTGTGGGTGATGGTGAAAATCTCCGGCTTGGTGTATCCGAGCGTGCAGAGGTGACTTACGTAGTCTAGCGGATTGATATCGTATACAAGCCCTGGATCGATGGCTCTCGCAGGATTGACGTGCCCCGCTCCCATAGCGAAGAATCCTGCAGGCTCGTACCTGTCAAGTATCGGTTTTCCATAGTGATCGGAGATATCGGCAGTCGTCATGATTGCTGAGCGGATCACTGCCGGACTCCATGATGGGTGGGCTGACCGGATTAGGGCGGTGACACCGCTAACGTGCGGGCAAGACATTGAAGTCCCCGATAGGACGCTGAAATTGGATCGCCGATGATCTTCTTGAATCCCTGATGGGCCGAGATTTTCAGGCCAAGCTGCGATGATGTTGACTCCTGGGGCGATGATATCGGGCTTTAGGACCGATGGGCTTGTTAGACTTGGCCCGCGGGAGGACGCCGGTGCTCTCGACCGTCCGATCGTTGTTCCACCGAAGATCAGTCGAGCGATCGGTCTCCTCGTGGAGTTCATGTACCGCTTCAATCGGATGGATTCTTTGTATCCTATGGCTGTCGCAGGCAGAACATGGACATCGACGGAATCCTCCTCCTCGTTTATCTCGGCATTGGCCAAGATCATAGCAGCGCCGCCGGCTTCTTTCACCGCCTCGCTCTTCTCGGCTCGGCCATTGACCCCTCGATCACATATGACCATCTTCCCGCCAACTTGAGCTTTTGAAAGAGATCCCTTGTAGCAGAATGCACCCCCTTTGGTTCCAACATCCATATAGACAAGCTCAAGCTCTCTTCCGCTAGCTTTGGAAAAATGGTTTCCCGGGTACATCGACTCCCCATAGAGTAACTGGCCGTTGCCAGTTCTGACCACAGCTGGAAACCTCCGGTCCATCGTGCTCGCTCCGACTGTGGTGATCCAAGGGGCCTCATTGGCGACAGAGTTTGGTATCGGGCCGTTTGTTTCCAGCAGAGCAGACCACCTGCAGACGCGCGCCCAACAGCCCGGAAGCTTCGATGGCGATGCTGTCTCGAACAGAGGTACGGGAACCCCCAAGCGAAGGCGGAGAGGACGTCGACACCATCGCGGACCGCGTCGTCCATCCCACGCCTAGGATGTCGGGAGCTATAACATCCGCTGAACCAGCAAACCTTGTATACGGCAATGTGGGCACCGGCGCCATCCCTGCGCCTCGACCCCCCCCCACCTTGCCGATCCCGAGAACGCTCGCGTTTCTGGACTGCGAGCTCGCGGCGGTCGACGAGGTGTGCGTCCCGTGCCCGTGGGCATCACGAGGCGATACATACTTCCGTCGCTGACAGCGCGGCGGCGGAGGGTATGTCGCTGACGTCATGACCTTCGGATAGACGGCGCCGATGAGCTTCCGATTACAATTCGACGAGCCGAAATTTCCCTGTTGACACACCCTCTCCATCTTGCCGGCCGCGGCATTCCTCGATCATCGAAGCTCGGGCTCTCCGGCAGACTCCGGTATCGAGAATCTCCCGATAACGGACCCCGTGACCGAAACCCTGATCGATCCCATGCGCCACCAGGTGAGAGGCTCAACCCCAAGAACTTATACGAGTAAGTCGTGTGTATCTCCAGACGTCGATCAGGGCGAACCGAGATGACACCAGGAACCCTTCTCAATGCCTCAGCCTCGTCATCGTCGAGACGAGCAGCGAAGCCTTCGATGGCTGCGTCGTAGGAGTACAGAAGCCGAGAAGAGGAGTCGGAGTCATCGACCACGGTTTTCTCAAGGAAAGAATGGTGCCATTCGAGTTTCGTTTCGAAAAGAGAGGACATTGTCCCGCGAGGATGAAGCTGAACAATGTACGTCTGCAGGTCTTGGGCTTGGCTAAAGATGAAGAAGGAGAACAGCGAGGAGGAGAGAAAGAGGAGGTGATGGGATTTCATCGTGGATGTTTTTGGGTCGGGACTGTTTGTTGCAGAGAGTTGGCAGAGGTATTTGAAGAGGGAGAGTGAGAGCGGGAGGCATTTGAAACTCGTGAAGGGATTTGTGTTTCAGGCTCTGAGGAGCTTGAGACGCTCGAGTGAAACATCACGAGATCTTTTGGTTGGATTTATTGCAGCCGGGCTTCATCACCGCCGTACTTTAGTTTTTAATGTAAAAGGATATTTGATTTCTTTCGCCCTCTTGGATTGAGTTCAAATGTTCACATCAGAATATCTCAGGTAGCCTGTCCCAACTGAGAACGTCAAAGGCTGTGTTTGACAACCCCCCACATTAACATGATTAAGGTCTTAACCATAGTTCTGATTCTGATAACAGACAACATTGCCAAGAGATTGGAGACTTTGGACCAATGTAAAACAAAAGGGATCCAGAGATAAATATATTGATCCAAAGGTTCTTCTCTTTTCTGTCCTCTTAAGTGAAGAGTCGATCCGACTTAATGAAAAGCTTTCATGCTCCAAGCGAGCATAACTTTAATTTGAAAGTTCCCTACCTCTTGGACTATCAAGCGACTACGGAGACGATCTATTTAGTTCGTCCAAATGTGTATGGTCTCACTTAAAACAATTCCTTGGATCAGTATAAGTATGAATGTCGTCATGCATGGTACTAATCTAAGGGTTCTCCGTCAGAAATATCAAGTATCTAATGACACGGTCCACCTGGCATGTACATATTATCAGGTGAATTATCTTCATAGTTTATTTAAGTATAATCCTTAGATCAGTACAAAACATGAATATCATCCAAGACTGTCAAGAGGAGGAGGACACAGTCCAAGAGATGGGCACTTTAAATGCTCTCCTCGTTCTCTCATAGGCTTTCAGTAACTATGAACTTTAGTCTTGAAGATAAGGGATTTTAATTTCTATTGCCCTATTGGACTGAATTCAAAAAGTTGTTTGACAATCAGAACCCCTGCTGGCTTGTCCCAAGTACGAGTGGAATGAGATGGCTCATCAAATGCTTTCCTAAAGCTCTCATGGAGGCTCCCTTGCCTTAAATTTTGAGGTGACTGAGCATGGGTTAGGATCCACGTTGTGGGCCCATCTACACTTGCGGACCTAGCTACCAAAAATCAACCAAAGTAACTGCAATTGGATGGGTTTTTGAATGAGAGTGACTATTGAGAGGAGACACAACTTCTTGTGGAAAATGCTTCCTTTGACAATCTAGGATAGTTGTGGAAGGGATAGGTGAGGGGTTGTAGCCTATGTTATTTCTCAATAATGATCATCATTTTATCATTGACTAGAAAGTGTGAGCGTATACCAATCATAAAGACATTGTAAGTGTTGAATTTGAAATGTAGCAGAATTTTATGAATGTTAGTAGAGTGGCACTGCAGGCACACCCCCAACCACACCTTTAAAAAATCTAAAGTGGGCCCATGCACTGTAGCTGAGAGAGGCGGTGTGCCCCAAGGTGTGGTTGGGGGTGTGTCTGTAGTGTTTTCCATGTTAGTAAGACAACTTGTGATGAAGAAGCATACTGCAGTTTGACGGTGGGCAGAATCCCCATATCTTTTGTGTACTCATGATGGGCTGATTGTTCTTGGAAGTCTGTTCATAAGAAACAGTATAATGGAGTCAATCAATTACAAAATAGGAGAAACATGCGTGAGTATTAATAAGAAACATAAAACATAACAAATGCATTAACAAACTCTGAACAAAGAATGATCACCTTACCAATAGCTCCAGTCAAAGCAACATGCTCACTAACTGCATTTCTGAGGAAAGAACAGGTTAGCACAGAACTGAGATAAAACTACACCACATGTAAAGGTAAAAATACATCTCAAATGCATATTACATCTCATAAAAAGCTAAAATGCATCTCTCAGCTAATGAAATTGCCAAGTAAAATACTTAAAAATTCCATGTTACTGTGGTCACTGAAGTCAACTTGACCACTATATCAGATTAGAACATGTGGTTTATACTCAAACACCACAAACCACTACAAAATACTTGGGAAGAACAGAGTAAGAGACGAGAAATTTTTCACATAAATAAATATGAAACGGTACAAACTGCCATGGAAAATGAATGCAATTTCATAAATGTGTCAATTCATTCGCTAGAATCTTATAGAGGGTTCAACACGTGCACCATGAAAGATAAATAACTACCGCAATATATACACCTCTCAGTTAGAACTAAAAAACAGTAAGCATCTGATATTTTACACTGCATTTTCTCCCTTGAAGGGAAAAGAAAATTAAAGAAGAGAAAATTGCCTCCAAGGTGATGCCAACATCACCTTATTGCACATCACACAAGACCTCTCTCATTATTTTTGCCTTTATAACTTACTAGAATTGATTCAATGTTTTGCGCATAATTTTCCCCCTGAACCGCATCACGTAGATTGCCTCCAGTTATTCTCGTGTTATATTACTTTAAAGTTTGGTAGGCAATGTGATGTATAATTTTAGACAGTCTCCTACCCGGCCTCCTAAACTCTATGAAGAAATCTTCACCTTTACTTAAGCATCGGCCATGCTGCTAGATCTTGTAGAGTATTCGGAGACTAGTTTAAGAAACATTGATGACTTGTCCTCCACCAGTCTCTGAGGAGTGTCGAATTCTGCAATTCTACCTGAAAATATGTACAGAAAGTTGATGTTAGATAGCTGTAAAGTCAGGTTTTTCAAGGATTAAGAAAAAGGAAAACATCGAGGTGTTATTTCTAGTCACATTAACTTAGAACTTGGGAAAAACTCATGTTTATGGTTCAAATTATCGTTGATATTGGTCCCTACCTTGTGTCTTTCATTTTGTACATTCTTTCCTTTCTGACACCCAATTTGAATTTGGAGACATATGAAGTCATGTCACTAAGTGCATCATTGCAATACTTTGGACAGAACAAAATTCAAACATAACATTGGAATTTCAGGACCTTTTTATCTAAGAATATGGATAGTTAGACATAAGTGAAACTAATGAATCGGAACTAATGAGTAATGAGCTATGACCAGAAACTAATCGGAATTGATGATTGCTGGATGTACGTGTCACATTCTGCAGTTTATTATTCTTCATCACTTGGACAGTTATGAAAGAAAGGCATATCACACAAGAATCTCTACACATCCAAAGGGCATATCATAGCTATGTTACAGCAAGACATATTTAAGCACATTAGTCATGGCTATTTTGATCTCTGTCCTAATCTATATGATAACATAAAATTACAAATATGTCACTATCATCATAAAAGACATTTGAATGTCTTCATTTTCTGCCAATGATGCAGGCATAATCACCAAATAACACTAGGTTAACAGTACAAGTGCCTAACTATAATTTCTTTTTCAGTTTGAAAAACCATGTTTAGTTCTCAAGTTATTTAAATATGTAGACAAGGAGTATGCACATAAATAAACTAATGTCAAAACACAACTTTCACAAAAAGGACCATTCTCATGAATATATAAGCAGAAGGTTGGAAAGTCAACATTTTTTTCCTCAACATGAATGATATAAGTACGTAAGTAACTAGCTTACCATCACTGAGGACCAAAACCAAATCACTGTCAATAACGGTTGGGATCCGGTGTGCTATGGTGCAAACAGTACAATCTCTAAATTCAGTTCGGATGATCTTCTGAATGAGATTATCAGTGGCTGTGTCAACAGAGGCAGTTGCTTCATCAAGAACAA